CAGAAGCAGCAGCGGCATCCGTAAGGTAGTTACAGGCTTGAGCGAGCGCAGGCCCGGGTACATGTGACCGGTTTTAATGTCATTGTGGTTTAATATAAGAACTGATCTCTATCAGGCCTCAGTTACTTACTGACTGACCAGCTTGGCTCAGTGCAGTCTGGACAGGCAGAAAGGTGAGGAGTTAAAAGTGCAGAGACCACCCTCCTGTGGTATTTCACACTCAAGCATAGATTTAGGGGGTGGCAGAGGGGTGACTCAGGAATGTGAAACAAGTCAAGGGTGTGTGTCATGTGCATTTCACTGTTGAGAAGCCTCCTTGGCCAGGACCGCGGTACTATCCATGTGTCCTTGTTTATGTCCTGCTGTTTGCAGGTGGTGCTTTACCCATTTCTGAGCTGAAGGTGCAAATAGGCCCCTGAAGTGTGCTTAGACTGGTGTTTGAGGAGCGCATGATATGATATCATTTTAGTCAGCATTTATTACACAGTTTTAATGCTGTCTCAGGGATGTAAAACATAGTGTCCGGGTTGGAAAGTCAATTGCATTGATTTGAAAATTTGGGATCAATGAAAACAAGTAAATTGTACTGAGGTATACGAAAAACTAGAACAAAAAACTTTACACCTTCTCTGATCTGTTTCTTTTCCTGTTCGGCTTCCACCTTTTATATTAATGGGTTCCATGTACTGGGCCCTTGTTGCTAAAGTAAACGTTACTCTTGGAGCTAGCGCTATTTTGTAAGGCTTAGATTTGTTTAGTTATTGTTGAGTCAGTTTTTTTTTTTTTTTTTTTTTTTTTAGAGTTTACATTTGTAAAGCAGATCTATCTTTTCCAGTTATCTAAATTAATCAAATTCAACTGAATTGAGAAACAGAAAATAATTGTGTGTTTAGTAACAGTTGTGACTGTGGCAGAGTGACTGAATTAGCCTGGCTGTGTGGTATGTTTCTGTTTGGCCGGGAGTGTTGATTCACTGGGACTGCTGAAGTGAGCCCTTTCTTTCTGGCCCTCTAATCAGGTTTTCCTGGTTGATTATTTGATTTGGAAAGAACTCCTGGCCTGCTAAGTGTATGTTTGTCAACACTCTGGCTCCACACCAAATCCCTCATGTGCAGAGAAATAGAGAAAATATAAGAGGACACAGAGAGAGGCAGAGATGAAGAGGGTAAATGGAAGGAAAGAAAAAAAATCAAGGACTTTTTTGTTTCATGGTGACAGTTCATAGTTTTGGGTTGAACTGGTAGAACTGACAAACTGGAAAAATAAATCTTACACAACTTTTGCTTCATTTAACACAACGTTAAACGTGTTTAACCTTGACAATTTGAGGGTCTCAAAAAGAAAACACAGATATCAAATAGGTGCCACTTTACTTTTAAATCATACAGCTGACTTTTTTTCCTCATTTTTATTCCCATTTTCCTGTGCTTTTTTTCTTGGTGTTCTAATTTACATCCGTGAAGCTCTTTCAGTTTTTTATGTCCGTGTAACCTCTCTCACAGATGCATTCCTCCAGACACTGTTAACTCATTTTATGCTGTCTGGAACACACATGGTGCTGTGAATAAACATGCCCTGATTAATGGACACACACACAGACACACACACACACACACACACACACATATATACATACAATGTGCATTACAGGCATGTGCACAGACACATGCACACACTCACTTCCACAGTGTGCAGACATGATCATAAAACAAGCAACACAACCCACAAGACTGTCGATTCCTGTGACTCCATGTTTCTTTGAATCCAGAGTAGTGGTGTCATTTATAGCCATGGATCCATTCAGGCAGGGGCGCATAATTACCTGTTAGCTTGTTACTAGCAGGATTTATGCTTTCATGTGGCTCTTAAGATCTAATGTGGTTTTCAAAGATGAACCTATTACTGGTTATTATAGGGGCCTCATTCTGTTCCGTTCGTGCAACTTCCCTCCGAATACATTTCATGCCCCACAGAGAGTAGTTTTGAACATTCAGTGGGTTGATTCCAGTTGGACAGGGATGGTGAGAAAAGCAGAGTGACAGTTTAGACATTTGATCTAAGAAATACATGCCATCTCTGTGAGTTTACATGTGTTTTTGTGTGGAAGCTGCCTTATCTGGTCATCCTTCCTCTCTGGTCGTTTCATGCTGTCTCCTGCAGCAATCTCTGCCCTATAAGAACCAACAGCAGGCTCAAGATCAGGTATAAAACAGAGAGACACAGACACATGTCCATAAACAACACTAATCACTTATCTGTTTAGTCTTTCAATCCAAACATCAGACATGCCTACATCACTGAGATGTTAAAAACTCATTTGGAGGATGTCGTGAAGGAGTATCAACATACCTGGCTGGGAGTTTTTGATTCAAAACAGCCTAGAGATTGGAAGTCTTATATCCTATTTAAAGACTTAAGAAAAAAGAAGAAAAAAACTCAGCATTTGGCAAAGTAATCACTGACTAGGAGTAAAGGTTTTAGGGATGTTTTGAAAGTCGTTCTGTCTAGTGTAAAATAAATTGCTTTTTTCATTTCATTGCAAGGCTAATAATGTAAAGATTTGCTTCTTGTAGACTGTGCCAGTGGTAGTGTTAATTTTTCCCTTTGTGCCCATTAATTGTTTTTTTTAAGTTCTCAATTGTAGACACTGCTTATCTATACTAACGTAACTAGATAAATAAACATCAGGTGGTACAGAAGGATGACCTGTCTTAACCAGGCAGGTTTACAAGCTCTATTGTTTTTACCACAGCTCACTCTGATGCTATGTGTGGACTTGAACTTCTCAGCCAGACTTGTGTGTAGCCTTTAGCCTCTCCACTCCTGATCAACCTGAGACATGGGAGAACCACAGTCAAAATGACAGAAGTGTTTGATATAGAATTTGATCAAACGCAGTTATACATGTTGTAGGGGTTAGGTTAAGGTAATTGTGAACTCCTAACTAGCTGTGTCTTAAGTAGTAACAAAAGGTGTTTTTTTAATAATAATAAAAAGTAATTGATTTTCCCTTGTATTATTTTTAATTCAGCACTCTCTTGAGAATGAATGGGTCTTCACTGAGTTCAGCAGTGCTACCCTGTCTAGATAGCTTTTTATTTAGTTCAGAACAGTGAAGCATAATTAAGATTTAAGCTCGACTGCTCTGCCTGCCTAGTATAAGCCTCGGGAGGCGAGACCTCTCAGATAACCTGCTGTAAACACAGCATATTTCAGTTTTCCACAGCTCAGTTCAATGCAGTTACTTCCATACCTTGACATCTTTCACCACAGGGGACATCGCAGAAGTAGCAAGCGAGAGAGTAAGAGAGGAAGTTGCAAAAGTGAGCACAAGATGCCAGTACATCCAATGACAGCGGTTCCCATGAAGACTGATTCTATTGCACCTTTTACCAGAGCTGGAAATAAGTTGTGTGCAATAATCCTACAGTTAACCACCACAGTTGAATCATTAGTTTCAGAAAAAGTCAATATTTTGAAACCAAGCAGGGATTTCTTTGGTAGTGCTTGTCCGCTGTTTTTCTCAGGTACATATGTTTCCAGGGCCTCATTGTGACCAATCTAAGCCTTTTTATTTTAGCTGATTTTGGAACAGCACATGACAAATCCAAAGCTACACCCACTGTCTCTCCTTCCACCCACCACACTTTTGTACCAAACATTGACACGGTGTGTGACGCAAACCTGCAGGGAGGAAAGGGTCAGTAGCCAGCTGTGGTGGGGTTGAGGCTTGGCAGTTCCTGGGGTGAAACAGCAATGAAAGACCTCGTTCTTCTCTGTTACCCTCAATGGCTGCCCTCCATTGGAGCTGGAGGTGTGGGTTTATGAGGGCAGTATGGTGGGAGTGTGTATATGCGGGGGGGGGGGCATCCTGCTGTGACAGAGGCTGCCAAGTACAACATTACAACAGTAGTGGCATTGTGTGGCCTGTGTGTTTGTTCTGTCCCTCTGAGGAGGAAAGGTCCTGCTCTCCTTTCCATCTTCCTCTTGTCTCTACCCGACATGCAACACTTTTCCTTCATTGAACATCTCACCTGTCTGAGTGGAAACAGGGGTGCCAGCACTCAGGGACTAATGGAGAGAGCAACTGCTGCTGCTAGGTGCCAACCAGGTTGGCACGCATGAACCACCGGATTTGAAAAGGCCGTTGACATTTTTACTAGCATTTTTTTTTTCCATTTAACCACAGTGTAACCATTAAAAGCGTTTTTATATGCATGAGACCTCACAGAAAGAATCAAGGGTCATATGAATGATGCTTTTTGTATAATTTAATGTCCAATTTAATATTTATTTCAGGAGTATATATCAGTTGAGCTCAGTAGATATTAATCTTCCACAGATTTTTACATTAGTTTTTCATTTTCCGGTTATGTGCTGTTGCCTTTTTGCATTTTAACAACATAGGAACATGTTGGAGATCGGTGTTCTTCTTTGAATAAGTCATTGAATATTTTGTCTGGTAAATCTATAAATCAACATTGTCATCATCATCATCTTGGCAGTGACTTGTAAGCCATCATTTATTCTTCTTTTGTTAATTGGTATGATAATTTAGTACACTGGCTTTTTGTGCTTTTTATAAATTTAAAGCCTATTCAGTGTTGTTTTGTTCTCTCCTTTTTCAGTGAATACAGCTTAATTTTTTCTTGGAACAGTTGACTGGACCTGGTTTCAAAGTCTTAAGGTTTTTGGAGGTAACACTGTCCTGCAAAAATCCTGTTAAGGAGCAGACTTGCAAGGGGAAAAAATTATAAGACTATTAGTAGAAAACATCAGTGTGAAACTGGTCGGAGGCCAAAGGGCCAGATGAATCTCCAGTGGCCCTGCCAGAAATATCGCAACACCCTCAACCTGACATTTAGATTCCCTCCAACAAAAGTGGCCTTTTGAAGGCAGTGGAAATGAAGAGAGTATTCCTTTGTTCACACCTCTCATCTGGATCATAAGAACTCACATCTGTTTTTATTCTGTTTTTCTATCTTTATCTGTCATGTCAGCTCATTGGCTACAGTGAGAAGCCTGTCAACCTGCAGATGTTCATCGGAACAGCAGACGACCGTTACTTGAGGCCGCACGCCTTCTACCAGGTGCACCGGATCACCGGGAAAACCGTAGCCACAGCCAGCCAAGAAATTATGGTCTCAAGCACCAAAGTTCTCGAAATTCCTCTCCTGACCGAAAACAACATGTCAGCCAGGTAGGTGTCAGAAGCACTTCAGGGTTACATTACTCAGTTATGAGCTTACCACCATGAAGGAAGCCCTATCCAATGAAAAAATAACAACATTTATGATTATACAGCGTTGTAACATCTTCCAAAAGGGATTTTATAGATTTTTTTAATTTAAACCAACAGGAGAGTCAGGCGCAGAAGAAAACTTTGAGGGTTTCCCATGGAGCAGAGAGGGATTTTCTCATTTACAGTTGTAATAAATCATATTCACAGGCGTTTTTAATTTGTGATTCAACACTTAATTTGCCTCTCATTGCCTGTCTCCTGCTGGACTTGTGGTTGGTTTTTATCACTCCCAAGCCTTCTCTGCTTAAATATATCTTAGATGATTGCCTATCCCAGTGGTGCCGTATGGGGCCAACTATTTTCCCTCTATCTTGCAGTATCGACTGTGCTGGCATCCTTAAGCTGCGGAACTCAGACATTGAGCTGCGGAAGGGGGAGACGGATATAGGAAGAAAGAACACACGGGTCCGTGTGGTGTTCAGAGTGCACATCCCTCAACCCAACGGGAAGGTGCTGTCACTGCAGGCTGCCTCCATTCCTGTGGAGTGCTGTGAGTGTCAACTTCCTTGCCTGAGTCTCACACAAATGCTCACACACCCAAAAATATTCATTCAGAAAACCACATACAAGAAAAACAAACACATACAAGCACACACACAAACTTTTTCACACACTTCTTGATTAGAAAGCTTGCACTCTGACAGTTAAGGATGTTGATTTAATCTATTGCGTCCTCTCACTTGAAGTCACTTTAGATACGAACATCTGATAAGGGTTAAAAATGTAAATGCTCTACCCTTTCTAGCCTAGCAGTTACCTAATCTACCTATCCCAGTACCATAGCTCTGCAATGAATACTACCTTTTTTGTTCAGGCTGAGGGAGAGTTGTTGGTGTGAATCTGTGGTCATTTTCCAGGCCATATTTTTGACAGTTTTGTATGAAATTGCATGATATTATTAGAAGCTCCTATTAAGTTGCCTGCTTATATTGTTGTACATCCATAGTCCACACTAAAAAAACAGACTGCAGTGTGAATGAACACAGCTCAGCAAATGATCATCCTCTTTTCTCCTCAACCCCTGCTGCGTCTCTCCCAGCCCAGCGTTCAGCTCAAGAGCTGCCCCAGGTTGAGAAATCCAGCCTGACCAGCTGTCTGGTCAGCGGGGGAGAAGAGATGGTGATCACAGGCTCCAACTTCTTCCCGGAGTCCAAGGTCATCTTCCTGGAGAAAGGCCCTGGTAAGTGTCCACACAGCAGCTTAGCCTTGAACCACCACTGCAGAAACTACATGTGCCAACATACATTATGTAACAAAATTATCATCATTCATTTTGTCTGACAGACTTAACAAAAAACAAACTTTGATTGTTGTGAATTTGTGCAAGTCAACAGAAGGTTTTTATAGAAGTCATGGTTGATGCATGTCTATGCTCCCTTTCAGTGTTCAGTTCACTTATCTTTTTCCCTGTCCAGGGAAAAATATATAAATCGTTCTAATTTCAGTTTTCATTAATTGGTGCTAAAGCCACATTTTTTGGCTGGACTGGCCACAGCCCAGCACTGCGTCTCCGAATGTCCATGACTGAGTGATAGAGTTGAGTTAGTCATGAAGTTACACCATTTGTCCACTGACTGTTGCTCTGTCAATTTGCTCTTTTCAATTGGGCACAAACATTTTGTATTGCATCATCAGGGGGCGTTTTCAGTGGATCCACAACAGGTGTCAATCTGTTGTCTTGTGTGATTTTGTCAAAGGATGTCGCACTTACTGACTGACTGACTGACTGACTGACTGACTGACTGACTGACTGACTGACTGACATGTAGTCTTAATCGGCTGTGTTTCAGTCACTATTTCATACTTGTTCCATTGTCTGACAACAGAAACGGAAAACATGAGAACAGTTTTATTGGGAATTCAGCTGTTTTAAAATACTGTTTATGTAACAGATAACGGACCTGAAACTAGATAGAATGCAGATAAGATTGAGCACAACGGATGACGATCAGGAATATGCTAATTAGGTCATTACGTCATTTAGCAACTTTTCCAGGAGGCTTTAGCAATCCTTTATTGAAAGTAGTTGTTCCATAACAATTTTTAACTACATCCTCAATTTTGCACATTGACCATGCGCAGTCCAGCCATATACTAGGATTTGACCTAGTCATGTTGTGTTACTACAAAGAGGTCCATAATATCTTCTGTATCTTTTGTATTCACATATTGATTCTCTCTCTGTTGTTTCTGTGATATGACCACTATTGCCACAAGAGGATACAAAGATCTGAATCATAAATCTATTAAAACCAGCCCTGAATTCTAGTAATAAAATTGTTTTGTGTGTGTGTGTGTTCTCAGATCACATCTATCCTTATCTTAGCCGCAACAAGTCCTCTATTCCCACAGGGCATTTTGTTAAATGCCAAACAGATTTACTGTATGTCTGCTGGTAATGTTGTGTGTCAGGTCATCGTGAGACAAACACTCAGATCATGAGGCAGTGTCAATGTACGGTCCTGATATATCCTGGTACAGACATTATGTTACAATTCTTTCCAATATTCATAAAATGGGTGTGCTGTTTTGTGACAATAAAGTAAACATATATAAGTAATCCTACATAAATAGTATATAGTAATCCTACATAAATAGTAAAGGTAGGAAAGACTTTGTTTATATCATTGCTATCCAAAAAAGACAAACACACATGCTTTACAGGACAGTATAGTCATTAGATATAGTAATTTCATAATGAAATACACAAAATAGATGCATGCTTTGTCTCACCATTGTATTTTGTCATGAATATCAACTCACCCATATTTTCTCTCACACTTATTAGCAAGTGTGACCTGCTAAAAGAAGAGGATAAGTGAGGGAGAGCATATGTGCCACATTTACAGCAATTACAGTCAGTGGTGTTTGCTGTTAGGAAGCCAGTGAGGATCACTGTCACTGCACTACCAACTCTTGCTGGCTGCTTGCACCACCTGTGTGGAGAGGGTGGGAGCTTGAGGGTTAGGATGAACGCAGAGTGACTCTCTGTTTCCTAAAACCAGTATTTTTGACTTTAAAAGTTGCTTATATCTGCTTAGCAAATGCCTAGGCTGAAGAGATTACTTAGTTAAACTCCCTGTGCTATTCATCCTGTTTCTTTTAAGTCACTCGTCTTTCTCTGCCTTATCTTTTTTCTCTTTTGTACACCACTCTGTAATCAAAACACATGTAATAGCTGTTCCCTGGGATGGAAATTTTAAATGGATAACATTTGTTGAGCCAGTCTCTGCCTGCCCGAGGTACCTTTGTGATGTAGAGCAACAGAATCAAGTTCACACATGGCAGAAAGTTGAGTGGTGAGGTTTTTGTTAGCGAGAGCCATTCCCAGAGGAATTTCTTTAGCTCTTTGAGGTGTACCAGGTGAAGCATGGCATAGAAAAGTAGCATGGTTGAAACAACTCACTGATGGTCAAGTCTTTATAGCACAGCAGCAAGTGGAAACCTTAGGGAGGTGCATCTTGGGTAGGGAGGGAAGCTGGGACCCATGGTGCATGAGGGCAGTGGACTGTGGAAGGAGACAGAAAGAATATGAAAGGGGAGGGGAAGATGATGTTGATTAGGTTGTGTAAATGATCCCCCTCATCATGGCTAATCCGCCTGCTTTAGTGCAGAAAGGCACTGATTGGAGTAAGTACAGGAATGGAAGAAAAGAAAGAAAGAGAGGCAATGACAGATATTTTTCCATCATCTCTCATAATTGAAAGACAACAGTAGATTCATGAGGAACTGCAGAGACTGGCCTATTGTTGTTAGTACACAGAGATAAACTATATAAAACTATATATAAACTATAAAGTATTTGACTATATGCAGAAACTGATTCAAGCAGTTGTTCATGTGAGATCATATTTTAAAGCAGATAAACATAAAATAATAATAGTTTAGGTTTGCTGCATTTTGGTATGCATGGGTTTAGTGTGATTCCTGTATTTTGCTACCTTTACTTTGGTCCTCAGAACTTCCTTAGTTCCTCTTGTTTTTTCCAGCCTTAAGCAGTGGTCTGATAATCATCTTTGAGGAAAGAATGGAAAGAGAAAATATATCTGTTGATTTATTATTTTATTTTGTTTTTTTTTGTTTTAGGTTACTTGAAGTAGTAGTTTGGGGACGAGAGAGTATAAAAGGAAGACAGATAAAGGGGAAGGCCGGGGGCCCTAGGAATTGCTGGCACTGTATTTATATGTAAACTAAACTTAGAGTTGTTTTTGTTTAAGGAAGGGGTACATACATACATACATACATACAGTACATATTGTTTACTTAAAACAAAGAATAGTTGTTTGGGTTTCTAGACTTCATCAAATATAAATGTTAAAATTAAGTCCATAATTGGTATAAGTATTTCACCTTTACAAGGATAATTGTTTATATAAAGGAGCGGACTTTAAAGTCTATAGCAGTAACGGCCTTGAATAGTGACTAATACAGCATGTGTATCCTGTAGTGACAGTGTTGTTTCTCTTGTAAAAGCTAAACAACTGTGTGCTTTACAAAGATGCAAAAGGCATCAGTTGTAACATAAACAGTAATTACCTTCTTTATTTTTGTTCAATCTTCCGGCACAGTGGGTCCACATTCTTTTCCCCACTGACTGGGGTGCGTAGTGTGTCTGGATTATCCGAGTCATTGTCTTAGTGTGGTATGAGGTTCCTGTCAGTGCTTGTTGTCTGACAGAGCATGTGGGGCCCTTGCTCCTGCTTGTTGAATGTCAACAAGCTGTACTGCAATAATGCACTGCTGTCAGCTGCAAAGACATTCAAGGTCATTTGCTCATTGGAAAAAAATACGCCGTCATTTAGGAGTTAAGCTTTTCCTTTACAATGGAGAGAATCTCTTCAGGGTTATGACTGCTTTATGTTGATCACTACAACTAAGGCTAATGTTAGGCTCAGATCAGAACAGATAAATCACTTACTTAGAGCTACGGTAGAGTGGGGATTTTCGTAGAAAGCTGAATAGCCTGAATGTAACAGGGCTTACAGCTGAGCACTTACTTTGTTAGAATCTACATATAAGCCAGTCCTCTCTGCAGACATGTTGCAGATGCCTGACAGTGGTATTTGAGGGAATCCTTTGGGTTTTGAGGAGAAGGCCATGCAGGTGCAGAGTATACTTGCACCATTTGAGTACCATGAAACAGGCAAATGAATGTGCCTCAACTGAGAGCCTATTCAGTAATAACTTAGTTGTCAACGTTTTTATTCTTCACGATGCTGTGATGACTGTGATTCCTTCCAACCACACTGCAAGCCTGTCAGTGTTTTCACCCCAACTGCTTCCCTTCAAGCAGCTGCCCCAAAGATGTCTGGCCAAATAATTAGATCCCTCATAGGAAAACTGGAAAGGATGTTTTCTAGCCAGAAACCTGGCAGTGTGTAAAGGCATTTTAAAATAAATACAATTATTCCACTGCTCTCTCCATAATTTTAACCAGGCAAGACAAACAGCAGGATATTTGGACATTTGATTACTATTTAATAGCTGCTAAGATTTTCTCCATGGGGCTTCTGGGCCTTTAAAAATGACATCATTTTGATGTCTCTTGGTACTCCAGAACAAATTGAAATCGTGTGCTTTTCTGAAGCTTCATCTGGTTCTTAAGCCCTGTCTGTTTGAGAAAGCACTGTACACTGACATCATCTTTAGGAAAACAGAAAATAGAGAAAGAGCTACTCCAGATGGGGAAAGCTACTTTGAAAAATATCACTGTGCTTCAACAGAGGTCTAAATGAAAAAGCTTTAGTAATAGGTGATCATGTGTGGCCTGGGTTTCTGTGCTTCTGTGTTAGCTATCAATTTTACAGTAAATTATATTCATTTTCACTCCACTAAAATACTTTTTTATGCCTATTTTAAAGTTGTATTTTCAAGTTGCATGTCTGGATGATTTAGGTTGCATTATCTAAAAAAAAGAAAGTATGTGAGAATGTGATAAAATGCTGCTGTACTCTGCGTCATCACAATTTTTGTGATTTTGAATTGAGAGTGAGAGGAATGATGAACAAAAAATGATGTGAGGGTCCAGTATGTACAGTAAAAGGTTCTCAGATACATTATAACTTGTGTGTTGGGTATTTTCCTGTTTATGGCACTAGGTTTATTTACGCGTCTTTTCTTAAACATTCCTTTTAGATGGACGGCCACAATGGGAAGTTGAGGCAAAAATAATACGTGAGAAAACTCAAGGAGTAAGTAGTCATTTATTTGCCTGTGCAGTAATTCTATAGCATTTTGTCTGTAATATTTGCAGTGAAATATATTTGTTTGTGATAAATGTTTGTGCTAGTATTTTTATTTTAATATATGTAAATTGCAAGATGTTTTGTTGGCATTATGTGTTTGTAAATGATATCAAATGTTTTTCATAGTCGTGCATCGTGGTAGATGTTCCTCCCTACCACAGTAAGACTGTGGGCTCAGCTGTGCAGGTGCAGTTTTATGTCTGCAATGGCAAGCGGAAAAGGAGCCAATCACAACGCTTCACTTACCTTTCAGGTGAGATGAGAGATTCTAAAGAAGGCCATCAAGAATTTATTTTTATGAATTATTTTATTATTATTTTAAATTCATAACTGCAAAATTTAAAGACAAAATCGTTGGGGAACAAAACAAGTCAGACAAGGTAGCACAGTTTTGCTAATCTCATGCTGTTTTTAGATGCTAAAGTATTTGAGACCTTGAGTAATTTTTCTACAACTAATTTTACAGACATTTACATGAAAACATTCTCTGAAGCTTTGCTTTACATTCCTTTGGGTGTATTACTTCTTGCTGTACTGAATCTCCCAAGGCAATGGCAAGGCGTTTGACTGACAGCAGAGACAGTTGTAACGTGCTCGCTGTGTTGCAGGCTTCTCCACAGGGGTTTCACTAACCCAATTTCTCTCTTTCTCTCTCCAAAGAAACCATTGCTGTGGTTTAAAGGGGGCTCTTCCACTAACAATAACATCGGCACCTGCCAACTGTTTATTTTGTAAAGCCTCCTCAAACTCCCAAGCCAACTTTTTTTCCTCACATGCACTGTATTTGCATGGGGTTTTATGATGCAAATCTTTTGCTATCCAGGAAACTTTTACTATACATAGCCCCTGAGTTGTGGTTTGATATAATTATTTTAGCAGCAAGGAAACTCAGTGCTCATGATATTTTGATCTTAAAGTTTCCTCAATGTTTTTCATTAAAATCAAGTTCCTGCCTTGCTATTTGATATTGTTATTGTATTTTTTTTTCAAGCTAGTCAAACTGAAAACACCGTTGGCGGAATATAATAGCATGTGAGCATTTTGTGCAACATATCCAAACCCTGACTTTTACCGCAACAGTGTGTATGTTTGTGTGTGTGTATACGTGTATAAGCAGCCTTGCCCCTCCACCCACCCAGCCTTTCTGTTTGCAAGCACGCCCACTCGGCACAGGCAGTTCCTGTTTTCCCCGTTTACAGATTAGGGCAGCCAATCAGAGCAGAGTACAATAACCCTGCTCTGTCAGTCAGGCTGGGTCGCTGACACCACTAGTGTCACCATGGACACCGCCTGCTTTATTGTGGCAAGAAAAAAAAATTCTGTCAATCCGTTGTGTTTCATGTTTCATCGTGGGCTGAGCTGCAAAGGCCATGGCCCAATTTAAGGATGAATTCTAAGAAGGTTGTCTGGAAAACACATGAAAACATGAAAACACAACTAGAAACATGTTTACAGTTAAAATTGGGGAGCAAAATAAGATCTGTATTTTGAAATTGCTGCATTGTCAGACAGGCATCAATATTTTTCAAACACTTTTCAAGGAAAACACTGCTAAACCTCACATGGTTGTGTTCAATTTTGAGGCTGTATTAATGTTGCATTAAAAATCAGAGAACCCTGACTTCAATTATAAACAACAATAATTTAAATCTACAGTATATTACCCTTCCCTTGCCCTTGATATCCATCTGGCTCCATTTTCAGCCAGAATAAACCCCGTTTGGCCTTTTTGTGCGTCTTGCCTCTCAGTCCCACAGGCATGACGGGGTGAGTAGAGGGCACGATCAGTGAACTCGTTTGTTCTGTTGGTCTGATCTGGGCTGGGGGGCACTCAGCTCCTCTTCCCACACAACATTTCACATGATGGCACCCAGACTGACAACATATGCTCTCCCTCTGATTCAGAGCTGGATAAAAATAAAACTCACTGTCACAAGGCACCAGATTGGGAAATAGGTTACCGATTGGCATAGCAGTGCTGTGAGCTCTCACAGTAAAAGGGAATGGCCCCATTTATTATCAAAATGTCACTCCATATTTGGGAGGCTTTTTTTTTTAAGGAGGAGACTCATTTCATAATCCATACATTTCAGAGACTGTTCACTGCTTTGAGATTCTTGTGACTGGTTTTTCAGATTGTACTGGACTTATTTCACCTTTAAAGCCACAGACTGAGAGAACTAGTGGGGGTTGAGAATGTGGAAAAACCTGAAACACCTTCCTTTTTTAGCTAGTTGAAGTCTCTCGACTAGTATACCTGAAGCAAAAATAGCAGTGACACCATCAATGTTGCAATGCAGTGACTTGACAAATTTATATATTGCAAGGCTTTTCTTTCTTTCTCTTGCTGCAGTATTTGATTGACGAACATAACTGACAATGTGGCTTTTCTCTTTTGTCTTGTCTGTCTTTCCTCTTTCATCACATCTCTCTGTGTATACCTCTTTAGTCATGGTGAAACAGGAGCACAGAGACGAGCTGGACCTTCCTGCAGTACCCCCTATGTCCATGCCCCTGGCACATGCTACCAGTCTGGTGCGCACCCAGCTGCCTTCTCCTGAGCAGGGCCACCCATCGGACAACCTTCTGTCCAGCTCCCCTCACGGCCTGGCCACGGGCTCTGGACCTGGCCTGCTACCCCTGCAGGCCACCTGCCCCTCCCTGGGCTCCCCGTCTTTCCAGCACCTGCCTCACCTCCAGAGTCGCAGTTTGCACCACCCCCCTGCAGATTGCCACATGACGTTCCACCCGAGCTCTGCTCCTGCTCCTCTTTCTGCTCCTCCCCGGCCCTCTTACCAGCCTATGCAGCACAGCCACAGTCATGGTCATAGCCTGCCCTTCAATGGCCAGTCCAGCCTTCCTCCTCAGGGCTATGAGAGGATGCCCTTTCAGCAGAGCCCCAGTGCAGCATCACACCCAATGGGTATGGGGATGGTGTACTCCCCCTCCCCTTGCTCCTCACCATCAGCTCCCTCCTCTTCAAGCACCAATCCCATTGCTGGGTCTCCCCAGAGCCAGCAACCCCTGCTCTCCCCCTCGTCCCCACACCTCCAAACACTTGGAGGCTATCACTGCTCTCCAAATCCCACCCAGGTTCCCTCTTCCAGTGGTCACCCCCTTGTAGGGCAACACTCCTCCCAGCTGCAGAGGGCCATGGGCTACCACCCAGTAAGTCAAAGGTCAGCCTCTTGCCCCACACCGTCCAGTGCTCCTCCACCACGGATGATCCCCTCTCCGCACTCTGGGCCTTCCTCCCCTCAGCTCCACTCGCTGCCCTACCAGTCTCCCACCTCCTCCTCCCCTACTTCAGGCGGCAGTCCTCTGGGGCCCCTTCAACAGCAGCCTTCTCCCCAAGCTACAAGTCCAGTCATGGCCAGTCTCTCCCCAGCAGCAGGCCCTCTGGTTCACCCTCTAAGCCCTCAGGGGCCCTTCCCTTTGGACGGGGAGAGGCTGAACATCAAGCAGGAGCCCGAGGACAGAGAGCCCACTTTCCGCTCTATCGGCCTGCAGGACATCACGCTGGACGATGGTAAGACTACTACAAAAATGTCATGCTTTTTTTGTCTAATAAGCAGGAAATCACTGAGACCCATTGAGGGCAATAGCATCAACCAGTTTAGAAATACCTCCCTTGTATACTTTTATTGTTCAGTAAGTGAGAATGAAGCGCCAGGATGCCAATGAAAATTTTATTTTATTTTAACTTGAATCTCATGGAAGCAGTCACACAGGCACATAGACAAGGCCAATCTGAAATAGTTAAAAACAATTAAAAGAGAAGCTGGATCTCAGACAAAGATTCTCAGTGGACACCCACTGCCCCCCCATCGACCTTTGTTTCTTTCCCTGTGTACAGTATGTCCGTCTTGCTCTGTGTGTCATTAAATGTCTCTTCGACTCTCATTCTTCAATTTTCTGTCAATCCAGTCTTACTGCTCTCATTATCACATTTTCCTTCCTGACCCTGTCCTTCTACATGAGATATTTAGAGCGCACCCATCTGTGATCAATCTCATTTACAGTCTAAAACAAGCGACCGCTGAGGGATTAAATTTACCCTACAATATGTGACTCGCAAGATAAATTTGTATCTGATGATGTAAAACAATACAGAGCACCAGTTGTTGTATTTTCAAGAGGCTGAAACCTTGATGCCTGATTAAGGTGATAGTGTTTCATCTGTCATTGCAGCACACAGTTGTATACACAGGTTCATTACTGGGGGGTCCAGTGACTTAGTATTGGATAACATAGACACAATAGGACTGATAACTATAGTATCATATTAAAGGGCCTAATTGTAAATCGCTAAGCTTTTATATCTCTGGCAGCAGTTTGGAGATTAATTACACTTTGTGTTTTTTGACTTCTTGGAACTGGGGAGAGGGAGAGGATTGCATCATTTTGTGCTACATGCTGAACACGGAGGCTACAGTTGTGTGCTGCTGCAGTAATTACATCCTGTGTGTGTTTGTGTGTATGCGAGTGAGAGTGTACGTGCGTTAACATCTCTAATTAGGATGCTCAGGAGAACTTGTTGACTTAACAATTGACCATGGAGTCAGCACATGCATTTAGCAGCTTTTTTCTCTCATCCATGAACTCTACTTCTTTACTGAAAATATGTTCCTTCAAGCTGTTCTAAATCATCTACCTCCTTATCTGCCATTCAGAGCCTCGTCTGGTGTTTTTTGTTGACCCCAGTGCCATATTCAAATCAGGGTTGTAAAGGTTTAGGGTTAATAAATAGCCCAGTGAAGCTGTGTCAGGTAGGTGTGATAATGTGTGCTAGCAAGGGTCACCCTAATTAACACAGGGCTATTGTCAATAAGTCACGTGTGAAAGACCAACAACCACTTCATTCATCAGTGCATAATACTTATGCATACACACACCCTAATACACATTTAAGCATGTTACCTGTGTAAAAAAGCCTGATGACAAAGCTTTTTCGTCAGACTCATTTTTCACAGCCTCACATGTGAATGCATGTGTGCAAACATTAAATCTGTTTACTTTTTCACATAAAACCAGTGAGTCAGATTTAGTCGGACTCTCCCGCTGTCACGCAGGCACAGTCAGACACACAGCCGCTGTGAAAGTAGCTGGCTACGCTCACACTGAAAAAAGTGTGAGAAAAGTTTGTGAGTGACACGGTTCAACCGGGAATGTAAGCTCCCTTTGAGCCTGTGGCTAAAAATAGCTTTCTGTGCCAGCCCAGCTCTGTAGGCCATATTTTGAAGTAGCAACGTGGAGCTTCACCGAGCTCTGAGTTTTAGGAGGTCGCAGCACACTCTCTTAAGTAGTTCACATTCACCCCAGTTTGACAGACAGATAGATGAGGGTAGACAGACATATGCAAATGTACCGCAATTGCACGTAGATTCATATAATATAAAAGCGGTACCTTTATGCTGGCTATTTATAGACTCAAATATCCAGAATGATACCTTAAAGCAGTTATGCATAATGGACATTTTAAGGCAGTGTATATAACCACTAGGTCTGGCTGTGTGATTAATTTTGTTAAAATAAGGGATACCAACCTTCTATCTACAATTACTGTGATTAAAACTGCCATCAGCACGTCACCCTTTTAACATGGACTTTAGACATTTGAGGATGAGGTAGCGTTACCTTTCCTCCCTTCAACCCATGATTTTCACACCAAACCCTTAAGTAAAACATTCAATGTGTTTCGGAACATTTATCTTTAAACAGCTTTCTGGCCTGTATAAAGATAAAGCAGAGGCCGGATCATAATTTTGCACGATATCATATGTTTATCGTACGTGAAATAAACTATCACTGACTTGTGTCAGCGGCACGAGAGGGAATACGATTGTGAATGTGTAGAAAACTGTTCTGGTTAGCAAGCAGATGGCCCTTGTGACGCACACCAGAGCATGCTTGCGATGTGTGTCTTGGTGTGTGTCTTGGTGTGTGTGTGTGTGTGTGTGTGTGTGTGTGTGTGTGTGTGTGTGTGTGTGTGTGTGTGTGTGAGGCTGACACAGACATGGTATATTGTGTTTGTGTGTCTGTTTAATGTTGCGGAGGTGTGTGTGTGTGTGTGTAAAGCAGGAGACACAGGAGGTGAGAAGACAGACTGACAGACAGATGGACAGACAAGTTCAGGATCCAACCCCACTGCAGGGTCACTCAGCCGAGACATTCAATCTGAAATAAACTTGGCATTTGAGATTAAAGTGAAGTGTACACTGGAAAATGTAATGCTTTTTACGGTTCATATTGTTTATGTCAATATTAACTGAAGATGTGAGTGTGAGTGTTACTTAATCCAAATATAAAAATGTCATATGATATGTATGAAATGAAAAATGGCTGCTTTGAAATTACATCTGACAGCCTGCAAGGATTTATTATTATTAGGTTTTACAATGAAAAAAAGAGAGAAGGTGTTAACAAAGGCAGTGAACTGGAACAGCAAAGAAGGAAGTTTCCACCAAAGCAGCATGGGATGTATCTCAATGTCACCAAAATTTGCAGCTTTGTGTATTTCTTCTGCTTTGATGTCTAAGTCCAAACAGATCAAAGTCGGATTGGGTGCTGCCATCATGAAATATTATCAAAGACAGGTTTTTCATGGTCACTGCTTGGCCATTTGGTGTAGAGACCATGGAGTGTCAGTACCTTAACAAATAAACAAGTACAGGCTCTATTCACTTTATCCCTATTAAATGATTTAGGATCAGCAGGTATAGATGATTGACAGAATATTATTATTGTTTTAATTTTAATAAATGCCTACCATCTATCCCATGTGTGACTGTCAGGCCCTTATTTGTTTGGCTACTTTATAAACATAGTAGTGGCTTGAAGACTGGGCCCTCCTGTGAGGATGATTACAGCAGTCATGGTGACAGAATCTGAAGCCCCTGTGCTGCCAACCTGTGCATTTAACTAATTAATCAGTGCGTGACGATCCCTATATTTACAGTGTGGATGGGGAGGAATAGCACGTGTGTGATTGTCTGTGTGCGTGTTTAAGCAGTAACCGCAGTGTCGGTAGTGTACGCAGTGTGTGTCCACAACAAAAGCTGGTCTTTTGTTGGCCCTGCCCTGCCCAAATGCACAGCTGCCTCAAACTGCGAGCGCAGCTTTGAGGGTTAAGAATAGGACGAGCCCTGCTGCCTGCATGCCTTGAGAGAGACACTGACACAGCACACACACAAGGAGCGACACACACATTATCCTGTAGATGTAATCAAATATACGAGGCAGTGTCCGCTTTTAAATACACTTTTTTTTATTGTTCTGTTTTTCTATCTTTACAAGGGTACAGACTTTTTAGAAACACTCTTGTTTGAATGTTAAATATGAGGCTATAACCACCATAGCCACCTTAGCTTAGCATAAAGCCTGGAAAAAGGGGGAAGGAGATAGCCTGGCTCTCTCTAAGGCAACAGAAACCCCCACCTGCACCTCCAAAGCTTTCTAATTAACATGGAACGTCTTATTTGTTTAATCCATACAAAAAAAAATAAAATTAATAAATGACATGGACTATTTCTTGGTGGGAAGCAGTAACTTCATGAGGTCTCCACTGATTACCCTTAAAATCAGACAAGATAACAAGATATTATGAGAAAGACTCAGGCTAGCTGTTCCCCCCTTTTTCCAGTCTTTATGCTAAGCTAAGCTAACCACCTGCTGGCTATGGCTTCATATTTAGCAGACAGAAATGAGAGAATGGTATTTATTTTTTCAGGTGAGTCCTGCAAAGTTGAACTATTGATTTAACATAAAGACCAGCATTGTCATTTGCAATGAGAAATGCTTGACAGATCCCACTGAGAATCAACATCCCAGTCTTCACAGTTTTAAGCTCATGGGCAGCTGCTCTCTGCCCACACTCTGACCGTATGCTCTCTGAATGTTGCAAAATGGCTGAGAGCCGTAAATGAGTAAAACAAGTGAGTGGTGAAGAGGCCAAATTCAAGCAATCCAAAAAAGACCTGGATATCTTTCTCAGGAGTTGGCTGACCAGGCTACAGAGAAAATTCCAGTGAGTATTGGATTTACCTTTGACAGGTGGCAAGAAATACGACTCCGGGTGTATCCCAAACTAAATTAAACATGAAATTAAACTTGGAAATGACCTTTTTTGTTGGCTCCCTTTGTAAATTACCTTGATTCACATTTTCCCTTTGGAAAGGCCTGAAAAACTGATTTGAACTTGGTAGATGTTTTTTTTCCCTACTGCAAATGCACCTGCTTCATTAATCGTTATTTCAATGATCAACAGTGTAAATTAAGGTTAAATTAAAGCCATTTACAGTAAAAGCATTGGCAATGCTGGCTGAGCAGCCTTTTTATGAAACATTGGAGTCATGGGAGAAATTGCATCAGACAAACTAGTTCTTCATAAATCTGATATCTTTATGCATGTTTACACAACCAGAAAGAAATGTAAACATAACTGTAGTTAATTTAACTGTGATTACTTGTATGAAATAAGCAGATATAAATCATCCACTGTTTTTTATTTTTTTCATGCATGTGTATGCA